CCTGCTATTGCAGTAGTAGCACCCTTGTCTCCTCTGCTTTTTACCAATGGCATATTATAATACATTTTTGTTTGCTTTTTTTATTTATGTATTTTCATAGGGTGCTTTATGCCTGTGGTATAAGAGTAGGGTCAGAGTAAACAAACTTTTGGAAGCTTTGAACATATATTTGCCAGAAACCTCAAGGGACTGGACCTTATGGCCCTGCTAGCCTCTTCTAATACTACATCCTGACCTGGGCCATCTGATCTTAAACTGTATGAAACTTGGAAATCCAGGGTCATCTCTGAAGGGTATGGTGACAACTAAGATCCCAAGAGAAATTTTAAACAAAAGCAGAGTATTAGAAAATGGGCTGGATTCTCTGCTCATCTCTTCCGGTTTTACACCAGGGTAAGTCCATTTGCCATCAGTGGATTTACTCTGTTACATGCCAGCATAAATGGGAAACAAGCTTCCACAGCCTTCTTGAAGTGTGGGTCCCAAAACTGGACACACAACTCCAGGTGAGGTCTCACCAGTGCTGAACAGAGTGGAAGAATCACTTTCCTTAATTTGCAAGTGAGACACTTTTCTACGTAGTACCTCCTCCCACTTGTCAATGTACCTCTACCAACATCCAATTTCAGCTCTTATTCCTGTTGGAGGAAAGTTTTGAACAGCTCCTAAATCTATCCTTGCACCTGCCCTTTCACCACATTGTTTGACTTGTAGATCATCTTTACACATGTTCTGGTGTGGTGGTGGTGGGGGGGGGGGAGGGGGACACTTTAATTAGAGTGGCTCTGAGGGCTGCTTTAATTAAAGCGCCCACAGTGTCACATGTATTTAGTGTTCCATACTTTGAAATGGCGGCACCCCTGCTGCCATTTTGAAGCATGGGGATATTGAATACATGTGATATGGAGGCTGCTGGAGCGTGCTAATTAGCATGCATTGGAGCAGATGTCCAGCACGTGCATAGATGCTCATAGGTTCTTTCTCCCTGGGCTTTCTGGGAGGAACAAACAAGTGAAAGGTGCTTGAATAAGGTCAGGGGTATAAGGGAGATGAGGAAGAACCTCAGATCCAAGGCTTTTGAAGGTTTCCATGACCACATGAACAGTAGGTCATGGACCTACTGTTTTGTCATGGAGGAGGAGTATTCCTTTTGTCAGCATGCCACATAGATTCCCTCTGAGCAACATTTTTTTGTTCACATCTTGCATAAAAAATCTTTCACAAGGAAACTGTTAGTATCCCAGAAAACCATCAGAAGGACTTTGTTGCCTTTCACACCCTTTGTCACAAAAATGGCTCAGGGAATGCACCTCTTCCTTGGTACAGTCAAAAGCTGTAGTTATCCTTTTTGGTACTGTGCAAAGGCACACAGCAGAAAAGTCCACAATTGCCATTGCACTGTTTCTCTGGCACAGACATTCAGACATGTGGTGCTACATACTGATTGTATTTCCTGTGTTACAACTGCTGATGTCCTGCTGGTTTCATTTTTTTTTTTTTTTAACTGTTTCTCATATGTCAGGCAGGAAGATGAAGCAGATCCAGTAGTTCTTTCCCATCCTCAATTTCTAGGGATCCTTACTTAGCTCCCATTGGAAGAAAGGATAGGATAAGTTGAAATTCTTTATAAAGGGTCAAACAAATTAGTGTTCCAGGGGGCAGCTGCATTCGAGTCTGGTTTTCATTCCAAAGCAAATGGTTATTATTCTCAGCAAGCCAGAGAGGTGTGAGCACGTCGTGCTCTTTGGATCTGTATCAGTAACAAATAACATGCCATAGAGGTGGAACAGGCAATTTCTAGGGCAATATATTATTCAGGGAAGTAAAACATGGATTAGTGAAATGATTTTGAGAGTTACGATGGGGGTGGGAGGAGTAGGCGCTTCCCTGTAAAATCACCAGAGCCCATGTTACTTGCCTGGGGAATGCTGGGGAAATGCCCATAAAATCTATTAATCTGCAACTAATTAGGAGATTAGGGAGTCAGCTTTTGAAGGTCTAGAAGAGTAATCTTGGAAAGAATCTGGAGGAAGGCTCTCACATCAGGGGAGCATCAGGAGCAGGTGCTTTACAGTCAAGAAAAATCAAAAGCCTGAGCATTATGGAAGATTTATATAGACAAGGGCCAGAGTTTGAATCTCACTGCCAGCTAGTGCATCCCAGTTGATTTCAATACTCAAAGGGAAACATATATTCCTATTTTTGTAATAATTTTTCTACTTAGTGACACAGAGATTTACTGTAAGTGTTCAAGAGGAATCCAGACAAAATTAAAAAATTAAGGAACCAATTTATTTCTCATCAGGCACTGTCCCTTCAAGGGAGGACTAATTATGGTTATTCCTGACAAGACAACATGAGTTTGACTCAGTTCTGTTTGGGGTTTTTTTTTTGTAGTATTAAAGGAATATGCTTTTGGGTCATACTAAACCATACATTGTTTATGCAATATTACCTCTGAAAAGGAGTTGGAAGCAATGAATCCTTCTATCTTTGGAGAAAAAAACAGGGTAAGATTCTTCTTTTGGCTTGTGACTTGAAATACTGGGAGAATAACTGAAAAAAAGGGAACTGGACAATGGTAAGAGAGGGTGGAAGATGACTTGAAACATGTTTGGCTTGGGAGATAGAACTGTGTACAAATATTATTAGCATAAAAATCTTAGAAATGTGTTATGCCTTTCAAAACTGATTACGCTTTTGTTTTCCACATGATCTCGGTGTTTTGTTGCCCCATGGACCCTGCTTCGTTTGTGCTTGGCACGGGAAGTAAGTTACTCTACTTTTGTGGAGCTGGCCTATGTGTTCTCCCCCACCTTGACCCTGATTTGTCTTAGTTTTATGTGGCAAGCAGAGGTGAGGTGCAGCAAAGGCTCTCATCCTTCAGTTCCTTCCTTTCCCACTTGCTTGCAGGGGAATATTGACCATGCAGTCCCTAGTTCTGGAAACACCATTTGAGCAGCCCTTACTTGGGCAAGTAAAGGGAGCTGGGCTTACTTCATTGTGGACTACTAGGATTGCTTTTATAAGAGATGATCCACATTGATCAGCAGAGTTTCAAGGCGCTACGGACAACATCCCAGCCCCAGTCCCTTCGTCTTGTTTTAGTACCATAAAAGGGCTGTAAAGATGTACCAGGTGGGCATCTGAGAGACTCTTTCTTCATACAGCTGGGCCACATTGGAAGATCAGGACCAGCATGTTTTATTATTAGAATTCCTTTAATGGTTCTTGCTAGTATGTTTCATATATGGAATCTGTTGTGTGAATTGTTCTGTTGATCACTGGGAACAGGTGGGGGAGGGAAGAAATATATAAAAATCTATTTATAAAGGAAAAAAATAGAGTTAGACAATGAACTGTTAACTGTAGGTTCACCTGCTCCCACTGAAATCAACTGAGCTCTGGAAAAGGGACACCATTGAATCTATATGTCTACGGTTTATTTTCATATAATATGCAATCCTAACTATAACTTTAAAGGGAGAAATATTATCTGATTTAGAGCCCACTCTAGCTCCCAAAGAAGTCAGAGGAAATCTTTTTCTTTTTTTTTTTTTTTTTTGGTGGCATGTGGATCAGGTCCATGTGGAAAAAAATCTAAAATGGCTTGTCTAAAGGGTACAGAAGTTGGGTAGATTTGATAAAGAGAACAGTGGAACTGGAGACCTGATGGGGAAAAATTAGGTGGAAAAATATGTGATTATATATATAAAGCAGTAGCCCAAGCAACCATATGGTGAGAAGGCATGTGCCACACTGGATCAAAGGGGAAAGTCTAGCATTAGATTAAAGGGGGAATAACTGCAGGCAGCCAGTGAGTTTTATAACAGAGTTGATAATAATACACAGCACAGGAAGGAAAGAGCAAGGAATAGACATGAGCATAAAACAGAAATAAAAAGGATTATTTGATCCCTCTGGCTTCCCCCCCCCCCATATAATGGAATTTATTTTATCACCCACCTTCTTCAGTTCACCTTCACTTTCATCTTCCTCTCCTCTAATAGTTTCCTAGACTCTTTACCCTGAAACTAAATTTGCCCTCCCCACTTCATTTAAAAAATGTAATACAGTGCATGCATCTTCCTCAGGTGCAGCTTGTAAGCATGAAACATCTGAAGTGTCAGTTCTACTAGGCAACACTTGCATGACAGGAGATGTGATTGTGGGATCACGTATTAGATCCCATTGTGCCTTATTTCCTATGCAGAGGAAGCCCAAACCCAGGCTCCCTCTGCACTGGCAAGCTCTCATGGCTGGGAGCCCCTTCAGGTGAGCTCAGCTGCGGCAATCTCCCCACCTCAGGGGTGCATGAAACCCCTGGGGCAAGGAGATTGTAGCTGTGCCCTGGGGCTGCCAGGACCCAGCTGGGCCCCAACACCAGGAGACATAGTGAGGGGACACAGACTCTGCTGTGGGGTGCTGCTGGGATGGAGAGTCCTCAGCTTCTGGGGTCTGAAAGTCCCCAGCAGTTGTGGGGCTCACAGCCCTAGCTGGGCAAGATGCATCCCTGTGGCTGGGAGCACACAGCTAATGGGGCTCCCAGCCACAGGGGAGACCCTGCTACACGTGCAAATTAAAGATGGGTAGCAAACAGCTATAAAGTTAGGACACATTCTTGAGGTCTAATTTTAGCTTGTTGGACCTTTTCATGGCATGATAGGTACTTTGCAAGTATAGTTGGCCTTGAGGTAATTGGGCAATACCTATAATGTGTAGAGGGGGCCTTAGAGATTATCTCATTCAGAGAGGCATGAGTTTTTGTAAGCAACAGCCTTCATCAGATGTTACTGGACTTGAAGAAAGCAGGGGTACTAAAGAGAAAGGAAGAAAGTCATTAAAATACAAAGGATAGGAAAGTGTTCTGCCATAGGCTTTTGTGTCTTTCTGGAACTGGTTTCTATCACGTAGGGATTTCCCTACTTGCCCAATGTGGACAGCAGTGGGGCACTGTGAGCTAGTGATAGGGCATATGATGTTGGTGGAGAAGCAGGGGCTTGTGCTACATGGTTGCATTGTGTTGAAATGTTGTGTCAGTGCTGATGGGGTGACAGGACTACTGTAATGTACAAACACTATCATTGAAAGGGCCTCTGTACTGATATGGTAGTACTTATGACCGCATCTCTGACAGCGTGACTCAGTCTCTGTTGCTGCATTATCTGCTACATGAACCTTGCAAAGAAAATGAGGGGCCTGCTGGGGAAACTAGGATTTGAGGTTCATCTTTTACTCTGAAGAGATGGTGGCTTGTGAGGTCCAGCAGCCCAGAGAGGGTTAATGAAAGACCTGATTACCTCCCTCAGCTGTGACCAGACAGCCCATTTGAAGCAGCTGCTGAAAAAACTGCAACCCAAGCAAGATAGGGAGAGGCTGGCTGAGGTAAACTGTGGAAGGAGCAGTGCAATGAGAGAGGCTGATGAGCATGAAAGGTAAGAAACAGCATGGGGAAAAGCATGAGTCAAAAAGGGAGTAGTACTTAGCTGCTTAGCTACCTCTGTGATGCATCTGAGGTGCAGGAGTGTAGCTGATTTAGCTAGAAGATCTCTTAAGCCAGCTTTGCTGTCAACTGTATTCATATTTGTTGGGGTAAGGGGAAGGTGAAGAGATTTTATTGTGGAGTGGATCTTGGACCATGAATTCCCTCTGTGGGGGAAGGCTTTTTTGAGATGATTGTTTCATAAATTGTATGTCTCTTAGGTAAGTAAAAGATGAGACTTGAGTGATTGTATTTCTGTCTATTGTAGTGGGATTTGATCTCAAATAAGAGTGTAACACTCAGAAGGGAACGCCAGGGTTAGAATTACCTGTGCCGCCTTTTGTGAGTGGACTGCTCAGGGAAGAAGAGGTGTAATTACAGAAGCAAAGTTATGTGCACTCTGAAAATAAAGAGATGAACTTTAATTGAGCAAAATCCAGGACATGATCCCAGATGCTCCCCAAGTTCTCTGGGACTAGAATTAATCCACACTACTTCCAGTTAAAGTAGTGGAGGTGCTATGGGTCCGGTGCTATGGGTTGGCTAATTAGCTAAGGTGATCAAGGACAAATTTTTCAAACTTGGAACAGAAAAGCTCAGGGTCAGGTGCTCCACCCCTAAATATGGGACTGTCTCAGCAAAATCAAGATGATTGATTACTTTATCTCATGGGGTTTAGTGATAATGGGGCTTATATAAGGGTGTGTGTGTGCGTGCATACATGTTTTGTGTTCTTAAATATCAAGTCTAATAAACTTCCACATTTAAAATGGCTCATGGAAATGTAACAAGAACATCATCAGATCCATTCTACCCATAAGGTGCAAAGCCTTTGACTGGTCATTCCCTGACAGTGTTGGTCACTGATTCCAAAAGGTTTGGGAGCTAGAATTTCCCATAGGAAGGGAAATCATGGCAGACTAGTGGGTTACACTTCTGCATCTTACATTAGGACACCTGCCTGAGAAACTAAACTACAGCTGCCACCTGGGTTCTGTCATTCCTGTGGCTTTTTGCTGTATTGCTAGCAGTACTGCATTCCAGTCAGGGAAGAGATGGTGGAGAAAGGCATTGACTTTACTCCTCTGTGTAACATGAAGTGTTTTTATTAAGCATCTTTTTCCTTATGGAAGCAGTACTATAATTTCAATGTTATAGTTCATGAAGTCCTATTGAAAATACAAGTTTTGTACATTGCACTATGCCATATTTGGTTCAACTGCTTTAATTTTTAGAGACTGTAAATCTGTTGCATACCACAAGAGGGCAGCACATGATAAATAGTCTGGTTTTTCACCCCTGCCAACCTACACACTGAGAATTTGCAGCTCCCATTGATTTTGGTAGTAGTGAACAGTGAACACTGAGCACTTCTAAAAACCAAGCCGTGAGTACGTCCAGATTTGTTTGTGATTTGTTTGAAAGAGTGCCACGGTCTTAGGCAAATTGTTGACATGTTTTACATGCTGAAAAACACCACCTTTTAGAAACTGGAGTAATTTAAAAATTCCACAGTGATGGTAGTTCACTTTTATTCTAAAGTACAAAGCCTTATGCGTGGGAATATGTGTGTTTTAACAAAGAACAAGTGTGTTTTACATCTCTCTGAGTGATTCAAACAGGTTAAAGTTCAGTGTATTAATGTTCTGGTACTTCAGCTCTGTGAATAGGAGCCATTCTGTAGAATTGGTAAAATGAATTTGCTAGTGTTATCCTAATCCTTGTTTTAGGGGCATGGAAAAGCCAAATGCGATAGGGATCAAGTGCAGAGCTACATAGCATCTGCCTAGTGTAGTATTAATAATAGTGATGTCTTACATTTGTTCCTGTTTGCTCTGCAGCAAACCTTATGGTGTTTACTGGTGATGATATGTGGGGATGAGATGTGAAAATCGCTCAATCGTTCAACCCAGAACTTAAGTTTTAAACTTAACATCTTAGCTGAATTTAGTAGGCGCACACACCAAAATAGTGCCCAGTCTACGACAAACACTATACATTTCTAATCTTAAATATTTTTTCTTTGGCTTCAAAATACCCGGACTATAAATTGCCAATGATCTTGACAGATGCTGTCCAATCAAATGAACTAATAAACCCTATCTAAGTTAGGGGCTCCAAAAGAACATTACTGTTTATAAATAAAATTATGCCATGCTAATTTTTTGTGACTTGCAGAACAGGAGGCTTCTTCTGGAAATTTGCTGGAAAATAGGGTTCTAGTATAACTTGTATAAATGCAAACTGTCAATCTACTGCATAAAAGCTGAGCAAAGTTTTGGGAGCAAATTGTTTATTTACTGAAAAAGGGAAGTTTTGGGGTAACCAAAGCTACGCACAGATTCAGGTTATATTTAGTAAATACCATGAATGGAAAAATGAGAGACATTGATTTTTTTAAAATTCTATTTGGTTTCAGCATTTTCAGAACATAATGTTTTGGCTTTTCATTTTGAAATTTGAGGGCCAATTTAATTCTAAAGAAATTGGGTTAAGGCAGGGGGAAGGATAAGCTGCTCTCTTTTCTCCTTTTTTTCTCCCTCAGACGCAGTTTTCATTTTTGGGTTGATGTGAAACACTCTTTTTGCTGATACAGTTGTCAGTGCAAAACTATCATTTATTTCCACAACTATAATTATAAGATGCTGCAAGTCTGTATAGTACCAGTTTCTACTGAATTGCTTCAAGCAGGGATCATTGTGTTTTATAGGACTCTTATAAAACTACTAGTGTTTGTCGTTAACTTGGAGAACATGAGGCCTTGAGTTCTTATCCTGGTGATGCGGTAAATATCAAAGCCAACCATGTTGACAACTGTGAGGTTGCTAGGAGGCTCTGGTTTTGTTACAGTATAAATAAGTGTCGTGTAACTACAGGAAGAGTTCTTGTTATGGTCTCCCTCCAAGTTTATTGGCAAAGTCTCTGAGGGCTGAATTCCATCTGTCTCACAGGAGAACATAATTCTTTGTGTCTGTGTTTTATTGTACCCTTTTAGGAAAGTTGCAGTGATTCATGAGGAAGGGTGATTTCTCTATTAAAGAGTACCCTCAGAGTGCATGAGCAGCACCATATCAATAGTAAGTACTGTATGCTAAAATAATTTTACTTTTGAACTTAATCAGTAACCAATTGAGAGGAACCATCTCCAGGAATGACAGGGTAGCTCATTCTCTATGCACATTCAGAGCTGCATTTCTCTGCAGGCACTGCCAGCCAAGCAGCCAGAAAGCCATGGATAACTGTCTTGCAGAGAGGGCTTGAGAGCACCAGTTCCTCTAGTACAGGCCACCAGTGGCTATCTTTTACTTACAGCAGTGACTGACCTTTGCTAGATTATAAAATATGTACCAAAGAAGAGCAAAAATAGTATGTAGAAGAGCAGGACCTCATTGGAAAATAAGAGCCATTAATATTGACTGAAAAAGTGGTGGCGGTCACAGGACAGGTATCCTGGGGCGTTCCTTGGGTGAATTTTCCTGGACTTTGGCCTAGAAAAGAGCTTTGGTTTGAGATGATCTTTAGTAGAACTGGTTGGAAAACTGTCAAAGATTGGAAAAAATATTTTGTATATGGGAAGACCGTGACCAACTTACCAGTCTCACCACTCATCTTGGGGTTGGATTCTCAGCAAAGTACTGTATTTTCTGGCAGATCACACTCCCCTAAATAAAGCACATGCTTTGCTTTTGGAAGGCAGAATGTAAGAAATAAAGATCTTTGCGGGGTGGCCAACGGTGTGACAGAGTAAGTTCTGGAAACATATGGTGTGTGTAGACAAAATGGGGGCCCTAAATTGAAGCAGTGGGTTTTAAAAAACACTTCAATTTAGGGCTGATTAAACCCCTGTGTCGTACACACACCCCACTGACTTACCTGCCTCTCTGGTGGGGAGGGGAGGGCAGAGTGGTCCCTGGGCTGCAGGGGGGTGGGGGCTGGTGCTTCCCTCTGCGGCAGCAGTGGCCACCCCCCGGCAGCACCTGCCCATGGGCACCCTGCTCGGGCAGTCCCTAGCGCTGGAGGGAAGCACTGGGCCCCGTGCAGCTCAGGAAGACAGGTGCTGGGGGGGTAAGATCAGGCTCATCACTTTTCTTGGGCAGAGCCTGCTTTCCTGAGCTGCTGCCAGGCTGCTTGTAGGGCTTCCTGCAGAGCTGTGGAGCTGCCCAGAGCCCCGTGCTTCACTCTGACGATGATGGGGCAGCAAACTAAAACTCCTCAAAGAAAATTTAGTTTGCTGCACCCCCAAGTCATTTAAGGCACATTACACCACCAAATTTCCTACAGCAGCTGGAATTAATGCACAATATGACACCAAAGCATGCAAACACTGACATCATTAAAGTGGTGCAAAAGCACTTAGCCCGCGTTAAAGTGTCTTGCACACACAGCTCTTTGTTTCATTTACACATGGCCATAGTGCACAGCAAGTATAGCATCCCAGGAGATAGTCTGGGTGAGGCAGAAGGAACTTTCTGGCGTGGCAGGACAAAAACAAGATTAGGAAGGGGAGTAGTGAGATTGTTCCTTTTTTTTTTTTTTTTTTTTTTGTACTATAAATAGCTCTTTATATAAGTTCCTGTAAATCATCAAGTGTTGTTTCCACACCCCAAGCCTCATCTAGATACTACAGATTCCATGCAGAAGTTTGCTTGGTCTGGTGAGTTCAAAGTGCTCAGGCTGTGAGAGGATTAAAACTGAACTCCACCCCTTCTGCTTTCAGAGCCACATAGAAACAGTAGCCATCTTGGTGGCCATGAGTTATGACATCTATTTTTTCTATGCCCCAATGCTTCTATTTCAGCAAAGAAAATAATCTTTCCTATGTAAGATATGCATCCCACCTGTGGAGGGCTGATCTGGGGGGAAAGGGTGCATGCGCTATGCAAGTAAATATGGTATGTGAACATGATGATCCAAGTCAGTGTTAGCATTTATTTAGCTAGATATTCCTAACAATAGAAAAAGATGAAAGGAGAGGAGAGGGTAGGCTTATTTCTTCCCAAGCTATTTATTGTATGGACCACTATTGAGCACTAGAATCAACTTCAAGAATGTACCTCTAATCTCCTCACGTGTCTGGCAACCTCTTCTCTTGGCAGAATTAATGAGGTTGCTCCTTTGACATAGCAGGTAAAGTTTTGCATTTTGGGACCCCTTATTGAAGCAAGGCCTTTCACATTTAGAACCCCAATAAACTGCAGCTTTAAAACTTAGGAATTAATGCAGTGGTTCTCAATGTTTTTAGGCTTAAGGCACCTCTCCATACCTTTTCTGAGGTTCGTGGCCTGTTTTCCAAGAGGTATGTGAAAGGCTGGACTGGGAGAGGCTGTAGCAGGAGAAGGTGCTTTTGCTTGCATTAGGTTTATCTAATAAATCCCGCTTGCCAGTCCGGCCCTACATGCATCTCCTGGAAATAGAAGTGCACTGGGCAGTTTCATCTGGCCACAGGGGTGATAGTGCCACAGAACCTCAGTTGAGAATCACTGAAGTAGAGAGTATGGAGTCCAATCCTAGGACAAACTCCAGGCCCAAATTGCAGTCCCATATTTATTCCTAGACCAGTGATTTTTTTCAACCTTTTTCATTTGAAGACCCCTAACATTTTTTGCATGGTGGTGTGGACCCCTTTGTATTGTAAGTATAGGTATTCACCCAATTTTGATTGATCAGAGTCATCTTTCATGGACCCTTTATGACATAGTTTGGGGGCCCAGGGACCACTGGCTGAAGAGTCACTGCTCTAAATCATGCAATCACATGTAAATCTTTGGCTTGTGATCAGACTGGTGGGGCCTAATCCTATTCACAACCAAGACAGTCAAGGACTATCACTGACTTCAGTGGGAGTTAGTTTATACTGTGTGCTCATAGTTATGGATTGTAAAAGAATTAAGTTTCACATGACCAACCAACAAATAGAAGTCATACACAAAGCCTTTTTTATTACATGAAATAGTTCAACATACTCCATGGTAGTTACAAGTGCATATAATTCATGTTTTGTGGATATCATAACAGTCTGAATATTTTGGCTGGACAGCCAGCGTTCTGACTGAATTCAAGCTAGTGCAACTCATGACATAACAATAAACAGTAAATTACAGTCTACAATGATGTTAGACTAGAGAGCAACAGCATACGGTATTTATTGTCACATCAAAGTATCACAAAGCATGAGAGCCCAAATATTAGAACTATCACTAAAATGGTATTTGTACAACCTTCTCATTTATGTCTAAATGTCAGGATCCTTTCTGGGATCCTGTTACATCAGCAATGAATCTAATCTGTCTCTATTTAGAAGGGAGCCATTTCAATGAAATGGGCAACAGGGAAAAATGTAAACATTTTGATGGTCCTTTGAAAGCCCATTCAGAGAGCACACATCATGTGCCACAAGAAAAGTGCATTTTAACTGGTGTGTCCATTATGGCCAGTTACCACTCAAATTTTCAATCAGAAATTAAGGTCCTGATTTTACATAGCACCAGTTATTAATCTATTTCTGGTGTAAAAAGTTATACAACGTTTTTATTATTATTTTTACTAACTCATAAAACAATAAAAATTAAAAGCTTTCTTTCCTTGGAGGAATAGTGATAAAAAACACCCAACATTTAAACACATTATCTCATATATATATATATATACACAGTATGACAAAAACTAGCAAGGTTTGCATACCTGAACAGACAAGTTTTATTTACAGTTGGATAGGTATCCACAGAAGTAGCAATCAGAATACTTGTATTTGGCTAAAAGTTATATAAAAAAGACAACTTTATTTTTCAAATACTCTCTAAATATATATTAAAAGTATCCAGTATTTCTGTTAGTGCCAGAGTTGGAAGCTCTTTTTCTCATGTTCAAAAAGTGATTTCTGTTATATCAGCTGATGACTGGGGCCAAACTGGCTCCTGCTTGCAGTCAGTGAATGGACTTACATTGACTGCAGTTATAACTGGGTAAGACCCAACAAACTATTGAAGATTTCTGAGAACTGTAGTGGTGCCTCTTTCAGTGTCACAGTCCCCAGGCTGGCAATGTGATAAGTCTAGGCAGACCTTATGTCCATAGAGAGCTCTTTTGACTACACTGAGGGTCTCTGCATGTGGACCCAAGCGCTCTTGTGGTTTAAACTGTAATCACTCTTGGAAAAATGACAGCTTATAGCAGTTGAAGATCTGCCCCCAAGTCCATTTTGTCTGTGGATTCTTTGTTGTCACAGGGACAACACAACGTGCATCACATTGTAGGGGCTATGGTAGTGATGGGGGAAACGTTGTCATATTGGACAAGATAAATAAGTGTTGATAAACAATGACAACAAAAGAGCAGTGTTATGAAAAAGACTTAGAAATTATGGAAATCTACATGCAGTGTGATAAATTAGGACATATCTATGTGAATTTAAAAAATAAATGGAAAGATATCATTTCCATGCTACATCTTATATAGAATCTAAACAATAATAAATGATCTGGTCCATAAAATATAAAAACAATCTATACATTATTTTTGCAACTGTAACTGAATATATATCCTAGAAGCATACGCTTCCCAGAGCAATACAAATACTGCCACTGCTGCTTTCATTCTGTATCATGGATTTGAATACATTGCATATAAACAAAGGCCATCTTAAGTATATAGCCCAGGTTTACTGTACTTTAGAACAAGAATGTTCTTAATGCATTTGGCATTTAATTTCTGTTCCTGCAAGGTAAAATATAAGAAGGATATTTTAGCTATTTAGAAGAATGGTTTCACATGTGTTAAAGTAATGGTGAAAGCAGTACCTCTTTGAGTTAATCTCATCAGATAGAAGAATACAAGACGTCTGTCTTTGCCTGTCTCTTAATCATTTCTCAAATCTGACATGAGATAAATGCTTGCTCTTCCAACATTCTCTTGGACGTCAAGTGAGTTTTGCGGTGTTCTAAGAAGGAAGGTTTGGGCTTATTTTGAAAAAAATGATATTGATATTGATCTTGAATGAATACAAAATACAGTATGTGGCTATATGAAAATGCATAGTTTGTAGTGTACATTCATTCACTAAAGGAAGCTTTTCTCCTTATGCAAGTTAATCACCATCTGTTGGCAACAAAACTGCCTCTTGACAAATCTACAGATCTATTATCAAAATATCTTACACATGAATAGCTACTGCTTAGTATCATTACAAAAGAATTAGCTACATTTTATTCTTCATGACCCTTGTCTCTTTTTTAGATAATTTTAAACATTTTGTCTTTGTAAACTGCTAGATGAACTAAACCTAAAATCCCCAAACCCATTGTATAGGTTTTTTGCAGAGTTTAGGGCATGCCAGCATTTCAGTGTTTAGCTTTGTTTGCCTGAGTTTCACAGCTAACCTGTCCCTCCTAATACAGACAAGTCCTAGAAAAACTTGGTCACAAATATAGCTTATGTGCTAGCTAAAAACTGGTTTGATTTCAAGAAGCAGAAATATTAGCTCTCAGCATACGCTAGCAATGACTGAGCTGTTTTGCTTGATAATACAGCAAAGTCTATTTATCACTTGCATTTCAATGAACCCTTTGGAATCTAGCCTTTTCCTATTAAACACAACTATCCTCCTGAGTGTCCCTGAACATGCAACAGAATTATCTGCTGTGATGGATTGATTTAAGTTCTCAAGCAGAAACTTTTGATTTCAGTAATTTGATTTTAATTTTGTTTTCCATTTGTGCTTTTTAGTTGTTTCTTTTTCTAAACAAAGGTTGATTCTCATTTGGTTGTTAACCATTTAAAATGTGCTAGCCTGCAGCTTAACTATAGCCTTCCTGCTAATTTGGTACAATTCTTTGCTAAGCAAGGAATACTATGTAAGTATATAATCTAAATATTTGTTCAGTTTCTTAATTTTTACTTTTTTAGAACCAAATGTGATAAGCAACACATTTTTGAACTTGTGATTTGTATCACGCTGCCTTTAGATGGAAATTGCAGTTCTATTAAGATGCACATAAAACAGCATTTAAAATTGTAAACTAAAACACTCTTAAATGTGCTTGATACATTAGAAAAAGTTTATCAAAACATTTTGCATTTTAAAGTCTTTGTTTAATAAAGGAATGGTATCCTTGGTAGTTAGTGAACTGAACTGATTTCTGGTTACTGTGTCCTTTAAGATTTTAGAAAGAGCAGACCCCTTCTTTCTCACCTTGTTCATATACTGAAAGAGGAAAACAAATTTTCTCGTCTTTTCAGCTCCCAACAAACGAACTACTACTTGAACTGAACTAGTTGAATAAACTGACAAAGAAAATATTTTCTCTGCATCTGCAGGACAGCCTGCTACTGTTAAGAGCTAGATTTGTATTTCAGCTAGGGACAGAAATTATACATAAACCAGTATGAGTGATCAGAAACTGATTCAAATCTGTAACACAACAGAAGTTCAGTGCACATAAACTGCTTCCAAAGGCCATTTATACACATAGATTTTTTTCTCCACGACGCACTGGAGAGCCGCTGCTTCGGAGTAGACTCAGTTAATTGAGTCTGTTCCACATGTGAGCTGAGGCCAATTGCGCTGCACCGCGTAGTTGTATAAATGGTGAAATGCACGTTGGCGTGCAGAAAACGGCAGTGGTGTGCTTTTGAATTAAAGTACCTTGGAGGTCTTTTAGTTCAAAAGCGTACCACCACCATTTTCTCAGCACTGCTTGCATGTGTAAAAATGCCCAAATGGCCAAAACTGATTTAAGATCAACCTGGATGGATGTAATATCACACTTAACTGATTTAGCTTAAATCGGTTTGTTGAACTTGTCCCAGCTCCCCTCCAGATTCAAGTCAACTTAGTTCCCCAGCATCCCAGGATGCCATTCCCCTACAAACCATACTCACAGGGTGGGTGGGCTAGCTTTGGCCAAGCTATCTGCTCCAGCCCAGCAGGAAGGCGTGCACTAGCACTGGGCCACTGCAAGCATGTGGCTACATTTCTAGAATCAAAAGTGAATGTCTGTTTACTTGCTTATCAGATCAATCTACACAGCTTAGACTAACCTGTGAAGATTGAATCAAATCAGCCTCGGGCTTTTTGACTGTTTGTACTTAGCCTTAAGCAAACTCAGGTTGTGCTGCTTAGTCACGGACATTCACAAATTCAGTAGACTGACTTTGTTTGAAACTTACCAAGCAAGTAGGTTCTGCTTGAATATATTTTTAACTAATTTTAAAACCATGTTAATAGGTTAGGCTTGAATATAGGTTGTCATAGTTTCTAATTTCATTTTAAATAGGTTTTTTTTTTTTGTTTTGTTTTTTTAAAGAATACAACAATTTAAAAATGATTTTTTTGTCTCATCTGTAATCTGCAGAGTTAACAGGGTCTCTTGCTCTTTTCCTCCCCTTTCCTTTAAGCCATGTACAAAACAGATGGAAATGCAGAAAACCAATTCCGTGGCAAACCTGTTCTCTGCACTGCCATGCAGGAAGTCTACTTCAGAGCAATTTCTGCATTACCATTGTTTCTTGGGTAAGTAGAACCTGGGTTTTTGTAGACATGAGTTTTAGCATTTGCAGGGACAGCAATTTTGCCTATGGAGGTGATAGTCCTACTCTGAGATTTCAGCATATTACAAGAGTAGGACCTGTGCCTTGAAAAATTAACTAACACCAAAGATTTAACAAGCGCTGGCTTTAGAGGAAGCTGATCGGGTTGACTGGCTCCTCTCTATCTGTTAGGGCTGAGAGGAAGAAGTCGCATGCATGCAGCTGGAAGGAATTAAGGATTCAGTTTACATCATGTGCAAGAGACTGTAGTATGGATACCAAAAGCAATCTCAAGAACTTTGTCAGAGCCTGGAGTGGTGCCTGCAGGTGCTCTATCAGCTTTTTTACCTCAGGAGCCAACTTTATTCTTGTTTTTCCAGTCACTATAGTCTTTAGCACTTCAGAATCAACCCAGATTGGGTTGGGTAAATAGTTCAACTTAACACTTGTTTCTTATGTTCTACAGTGATTGGGCGGGGGGGGGGGAATCTATTTTGTTTTTATTAAATCATTGGGACAGGGACTTCTTTTGTGTGTTTGAAACATGGGGTTTGCCTCCCTACCCTCAAGCTACACTGGTTCATTAGAGCCATGTTGATTTTCAGGCAACAGTCAATCAGAGTTCCACACACAACTTGATGGAAGAGATTAGATTTTAAGAGTGGAACCTGCATACATTTATTCATGTGAGTAGAGAGTGGTTTTGGGACGACTTAATTCTTATATGAGTAAGGATCTATGGGTTCAGTACCAGAATAACCAGGGCCTTGTCTGTGACCAGAATTGCGTAGGTCTTGTCTATTGAATCTACTAGATTGTAAATGTATTTCAGAAGCCTCATTATGTATAAATGCTTTACAAAAAGTAACTTTTGGTTCTAAATAGTGCATGTGTCATTTGCAGTTAATTTTAGAATGTTTTTAATACCAGGATAAATTTCTAATAAATTACAGGTCAAAGCTCAACAAGTTGCTAGTTAAGAGAACTAGATTAAAAAATCTCTTTTTTTTTTTATTATTGTTTAGTATTTCAAAACACATGGTCATGACGCGTAGAAGATCTATACAAAGAACTGCATTAAGCAGCTTTAATTAAAGCTCCCTCCTTTTATATGGCATGAAAGAAAAAATACAAATTACTTTTTAAATATAAGGTAAAAGCTGGATTGCTTCTTGAAATGCACTTTTAAAATTTCACAATTACTTTATAGACTCTAAAGCAACACTCTACTTTGGGAGGAAACTGATTGGCAATGATGAGCAGAGAGAGATTGACATTTCCCTTTTGTGAAGGAAGACGCCCAAGGGGACACATGGATCTGAATCCTGCAGTACCGACTTTATTAGTAGTTTTGCTTGCATGGGGACTACAAGATTGAGCCTGTGTGTGGCCACTTGGCTTATACTTAAAGCCATTCACTTTCTATATTATAAATATTCTCATTAACTTAATTAAAAATAAATCACTTAATACAGGAAAAAATAAATACAATTAAAAATTATTTATTTTTGTGTATTTTTAAAAGCTTAGTGCAATTTAATATTGAAGCCTCTCAGTGACATCAGGGATTAGATCCTGGAGCCTCTCTGCCACTAGCCAGTGGCTTGAAGGGTGAGAAAGGTGCACTGAAGAGACAGGTGAGAATACCCATCATGGCTGTGAAGCAAGCAGAGGTGCCCTTGGCCATCCTCTCCTGCGTGCCTCAGCTTGCTGGGCTCCAGAGATCTCCAGCCAAGGTACAGGCCCTGGCAGACTTTTAGAATAGACTGCAAATGGGAGAGGAACAGGGAACCCCTGGCCAGGCCCCATTCACTCTCTCTTTCAGCATCCAGTGTCTGCCACTGTGTGACACAGGATACTGGGCAAGATGGATCTGTGGGCTTACACAGTAAATGGCAGTTCTCATATGTCATTTTGTAATAGCTTTAGATTGCCCTTAAATACACCAAAACCCAAACTGGTCCAGGCCATGCTTGGGGGGTACTGAGGTTGTTTAAAACCACCTTTGATCCCCCCAAGTCCTTCTCATCTATGTTTTGTGGAGCTTTGGCATAACAAAGAATCTAGTCCTAGGTTTTATTTTACACACTGTCCTTCCTTCCTCTTTTCCCCCCAGTCAAACTCAGTGTTAATGATAATAATATTAAGATGTCCCAAAGGCATGCAACCAACATTGGGACCCCAGTATGCTAGGCACGGTAGAAATATGAAAATCAATCCTTTCCTTAAAGAGATTCATCTCAGTAAGGTGGTGTCACAACCCAAAGTTGTGATTTTTGTTTTTGTGTGCGCTTTGGCACCACTGAATTATTTTCCCGCCAAATTTGTAGCTTTCTTTGCAGTGTGCATTTCTTTTGCATCTGAGAAATGCTCGTTGCAGAGTTCCCGCCACTTGTATGATAATTTGAGCCCCATTATTGGCTTGCTTGAAATTATGCACACGTGGCGGACACGTGTGGGCTAGTGATTGGCTGCTAGCCGTATAAAAGGCTTGGGTGGTTTCCGCCCAAGTCGGAGTTCGAGAGAGAGAGAGAAAAACCTTCGCCTTGCGTGAAGATCTCTAAGTGCTGCAGATCCTTACGGACCCAACGCATTTCTTAAAAGGCAACAGGGGCCTGATCAGCCTCTGGCCTCTCCCCATCGCCGATTAATTCCTAGACGTATCCCTCTCCCTGCGCGCAAAAGGACCCACGGAGCCTAGCAAACTTCGTGTGAGTGAATTGTGAGTGAATAAACGGACCCACGGAGCTTCAACAACTCCGTGGGAGAGAGCGAGCTTGTCGTAGTCCTCAAATGAGGATTTAATTGGAGCTGTGCCTGGAAAACTGTCCAGCCTACACCACGACCATCTTTGGTGTAAGTAAATAATCTTTAAATCAACCATTACGCATCCGTGACTAGTTCTAGCGTGTTGCCCGTTCTCTCCGACCCCGTGTGCCTGGGCTGCTGGCCACAGCCCGCGTGCGCAAAAGGGCCGCGGATCGCTCCCGGCCCGCACAGGTGGCAGACAAATGGTAGGAGAAAAGCTTGTATTGTCATCTCTATCTGATACCAAGATGCAGAACCACTAAGGGCCAGATCCACAAAAGAATAAACTCGGGTGCCTAGATTTTGCCTGTATCCTATGTTACGTTCTTTAGTCTAAAATTACAATCCTGAACAGACTCCTCCTCCCACTTAATGGAACTTCCTCATAAGTGAACTGCTAAGTTCTTGCTTTTAGGATCTAGCCTGTCTCAAGTAGTACCCCTTGGATTTTTTTTTTTTTTTGGAAGAAAGCCAAGATAAATGAGTTTCTGTAACTGCAAACTGAGTGAGGATCCTGCTTAATTTTGAGTTAACTTTGTTTTTCTGGAAGCAAGGCAAACACTAATAGGAGGATGGAAGAATTTGACTTTGCTGCTAAGAAAACAATAAAAACAGGACGATGTCCCACACTCTGCTACAAAGTGCTGTACAAAATTCCTATACATTTTGCTGGAAACTCATAGTGGAATCACAGAAGGAAAGTTTCCTACACACACGCATGCAAGAAGTCCTTGCTCTACCATTCTGGGACACCTTAAGTTCTGGCTTCTTTTGGAGAGCTATTACCACTGACTTTGGATTAATCTTCTTATTGGGATTCTTAGGTCAATAAATAAGGCCAATCCCAGAGTTTGGGGCATAGAAAGCGTATGAAGAAGACAAAATGGCTGTTACTCAGACTAGGGAAGGAGAAAAATCCCATCTAGATTAGATCACTGTTAGATGTGGCTTGAAAATAAAATACTGAGACACCTAAATGGAATACTTCCTTAAGGAATATTTTCAGAGTAGGAAGATGAGGATTTCCCATGTGAATTACTTCTGTAGCTGTGTGAGATTTGGCATTATTTAGGTGAATGACACTCACTGACTAAACAAGATTATGTGATGTTCAGAATACCACTAGGAGCTTTAAAATGGCTTAAAAGAAGTTGCAGAAGTTTGACAAAGTACTGGAACTTTTTAAAGGCAATTTAGTACTGTATAATCGAGCCAAGGTCTTGACAATTGTAGTCTGACTTGTGCTGGCAACAATTGGTGCATACCAACTTGTATTTACAAACTGGATTTGGACAGTTGATATGATCGAACTTCTTTTCATATGTGTAAGTTTGCACACAGACACATTGTCCCGTGTCTGTGTGTGTGGAAATTTCTTGGTGCAAGTTCACAAATATATTTTTTTAATTTAAATTATTTTCATTCATCCCAGTATGAGACTCCTTCCAAGAGAGATTTTAGATCAGGAATTCCCAAGGGTTTTAGATTGGGAATGTACTCGTATAATGATGCCATTAAGACAGCATTACTTGTTACCTGGAGTAGGCTGTAATTCTTCACCTTTGCTTAAAATAGCACTTAAATTATCTGGCTAATTTAACCTCTTGTGGTTGAGATCCAGAGAGCGCAACTGAAGGTGCTGATGGATTTATCAATTACCAAACACACAAGCTTTCTACTGCAGCTAAGCAAGGTGGCCTTGTTAAAGCCAAAAGTATTTTTTTTTTAAATGTAGATAACAGGAGGCTTAGAAGCTATCAGAAATCTGATGCTAGGAGAGAGGGCCTTTACATTACCATGTAGTTTTTTTGACAAAGGCTTGTAAAATTGGAGATCAGCCATGCCAAAGCTGGGCATTGTTTCTGGTAAAGTGAAAACTCCTGGGAAGAGAACACTTCTCCAGCCCAGGCCATCTTTCAGAAGTACTCAGGCTGGACATTTTCAGTTGTACTCATCTTTGATCCTGAACACAAAGCACAGAACTACCTGTTGCTAATCCTGCTCACTGAATTAATGTAACAATCTCTGACAGCACGGATACTATATGTATGAGTGAGACCACTGGATATGGCTCTAGCGTAGCATGGGTGTTCGTGGTACATTTCACTGTCCTTTTTCATAAGGTTAAAAATAATCTGAAGTCCACAAAACCTTAATGTGCACCACAGCTCAGCTGGTCTCTGGTCTAGCTGAGTTGCACTTGATGCAAGGAGAAGAACATGTGAAGTAAAGGTGACTTCATGCCGTCCTGACCCAGGGTCTCATCTAGTTCCTGTTGTAATTCAAAGGTGTCACAAAAGCTCTTCTGGCAGCAAGAGATGAATGTACAGGAATGTACGTGAACACCTGACCACACACTCTTCCATGCCAGGAAGCAGAAGGGGAAAGGTACGTGTACAGCCATAGTATCAAAGGATCCTTAGCCAGGGCAGATTCATAGAGATCTGCATTCTCTGACTTCATGGTTGCCTGTGCTGCAAGAGCCATCATCTAGCAATTAAACATTTTAATTTTTTTTGATCAGGTGTGTGAAACTCATTTGGCCCTTTGGGCTGGCTGAGTGGTGTGGGGCCAGTCCACAGGATGGATGAATGGGGCATGGCTGGCCCCATGGGCCAGATTGAGCCTGCAGCCACTGTTACCCAGAGGCCAGTCTGGGGTGGATGCTCTACACAGTGTTCACTCTGGCCAGTAACTGTATGTTACTTAGATTAGATTAATAAACAGAAAGATGAGCTTCCTGGTTTTTTTGCAATGTGAGTAGCCAGTTCCATAGAGGGATGGTTAAATCCAATTAAAGCTTATCTTTTACATTGAAATTTAAAAATTCTGAAATGTTTTATATATAATAGATTAAAAAAAAGTCAGACCCCTAAAATCTGGGTCTGAGCTACTTCATTATGTCCCTTTAATAAACTTAATGGAAGCTGCGTGTATTAGTAGTATCACTAGAACAGCCATGACTTTTCTTTTGACTGTTCATAGAAGGAAACACTTCTTATATAAAGTAGTGATCCTGCAAAGTAATCTGTCCATGCACTTGGCTTTCTATGCTTGGATAGGGTCCCCTTAAGTCTAAACAGCGATCACTTAGTAGCCATGGGCTCAAACAACCTTCCCCCTCCCTCCCGGCTTTTATTTCTACTGGGTTTAAATTGCACACTATTATGCTATGTCACTTAATCTCAACAGCTTTACTGGTTAATTCCTGGGTTTGTTTCTTTTTAATTAACTGCAATAAAATGATGCTGCCATTATTACAACTCTGAGTTCTGCCTCTAGTAGCCTATTGCTGTTAATATTTAAGAGCTTTGCAGTGTTTATATGCAGCACACTACTTGTTTTCCTACTTTAGCCCTTTGTTTAGTAAGTAAATATTGCAACTTATCAATAAAGCTGCTGTGTCTATCCTTCCTAAGAAAAATATTGTCTTTTTTTGGAGCCACTAAAACTTCCACAAAACATATAAAATGATTAATAGTATTTGTATCTTCAAATGTTTTTAGGTAAACTGACAAAAATTGGCATAATCCTGGACTGGCTGTCCAAGTCACTGCGCAGCGTGCACAGGGAACAGTGTTGGGCTGTATGTCTTACTCTAAAAATTGTCCAACGTACATTCTGACAGGCTTTCTGTGAGTCTGACTGTAAAAAGGCGACTTTGAATTTAAAAGGGAGAAAAAAACCTGATTTAATTAAATCTTGGTATATGGCTTTTCTTCTTTTTTGTATCTTTGCTGTGCAAAACTATTCTGAATATAAGATAAAGAACATAACATTTCAAAAACCTAGATTGTCTTGCAACATATGTAGTTCAAAACTAGAACATAGAAATAAGCTCTCTCTGGTACCCTGTTTCAGCGAAGCATAAGTTTGATTTTTAAGCATGTTAATAATCTCATGTAACTGAGAGTAAAATTAAGCACATTCTTAAGTACTTTGCTGATCAGGCCCAATCAGTTTGTTGAAATATACCTTTTCAACCTCCAGTTAATTTTGGATTTAATCAGCTTTACAGGTATCCAATACTCTGCATGAAAGCTTAACACTGCTGCAATGTGAGAATTACTTAAACACTTCAGATCCCGTGTGCTGGTTATAGCCTTAGGCCCCACTCTGATGCACAAGACTGATTTTACTTACTTGAATATATGTTTAAGTGTTTGCAGAATTGGGTCCCAGGTCATGATGTAAAGAAATTCTGGTAAGAGAGAATTAATATAAATTTTTTAAAAAGTGGCAGCCCTTCATGTACAAGTGGAGATTTTGAGAATTCTATGCATTATTTATTTCATAGTAGACTCATTTGTATGCACAAGCCTCATTTTCATTCAAATGGATATCTTAGTAGGTGTGAAGGAAGATAAAAAAAAAAATACAAGAGCTCCATAAGGGAATTAGCACCTTGCAACTCAGAGTACTTACAGTCCTTAAAGGATACCATGCCATAAAGTATAACTTTTTGTTAAGTGGGTAAATTTGATGTGCAGTAATCCAGCTACAAATAACATTCTGTAACTGTGTGATTGTATAAAG